CAATGGTGTCACTCTGAAGACTAAGGTGCGCCTGATACAGGCGATGGTCTTTGCAATCATTTGCTGTGCATCAGAGAGCTGGACAATGATTAGGGAGAATAGAAGGAGAATTGATGCCTTTGAGCTGTGGTGCTGGAGAAGAGTATTGAATGTACCATGGACTGCTAAGAAAACCAACAGTTTCATCCTGGAGAGGGTTAAACCAGGCTGCCCCTTGGAGGCAAAGATTCTGAGGCTTTGTCTGACATTCTTTGGACATGTAGCAAGGAGAGACCAGTCCTTGGAGAGGGACATCATTCTTGGGAGGGTGGAGGGACAGCGCAGGAGGGGAAGGCCCTCTAGGAGGCAGATTGATTGAGTGACTGGGGTAAGCAGGGTGGGTGTGTCGGAGACAGTGAAATTGGCACAGGACAGAGCAGAGTTTAGGGCTGTTTTACTTAGGGTTACTATCAGTTGCAAGCAACTCCATGGCACATAACAACAACAACATATTAATCTGTTTGTTCTTTTGATAGTACAACACTGTCCTGAGTAGGGAGCTCTGGGAACATAGTCTGTAGGCAGGTACTCTGCTGACCCCAAAGGCAGTGCCTCTCCCTAAAAGGTTCAGATTCACTAGTGCCTCCATGGGGGGGGAAAACCAGCAGTCTCCTCTCATGCAGTTCACAGCTTCCAAATAACTCTCTGGAGGAATAGCCATGAGTCAGTTCCAACTCCACAGCAGTGAAGTCAGAATGAATGAATGGCACTCTCTTGACCACTGTACCTTTATGATAACTATTGAAGTAGAATAGTGCAAGTCCTTCGTATTTCTTCTTCTTCTTCAATATGGTGTTAACTCTTTGGAGCCCTTTGCCTTTCCATGTAAACTTTAGGATCAGTTTGTCAGTGTCTCTAGAATAATTTGGTGATATTTTAATTGATTTTGGGTATAGAGACGCAGTACTGGAAGAGTTCCCATACTGGAACTCTGGTAGTTGGTAGGATGTTGTGTTGCTTACCAAAAGGTGACAAAACTCCAGCATATGGAATCCACATAGCCACTCCATGGGATAAAGATGGGCAGTCTCTTCACAAAAAGATTTTATAGTCTTGAAGGCCCAGTGGAAAGTCACTATGAGTGAGTCAGAATTGACACAATAGCAGTAGGACAGAGCATACTGGAAAGATAACATTAAGTTCTGATAATATTAAGCCTTCTTCATTATTGAAAAATATTTTTACTTGGATAGAGAGAGTTTAATTGACTAATATTTTCTTTTGGAACTTTAAAAGAAGTTTAAAGGCCACTCCATTGTCCTCTGGCTTGAATAGTTTCTGAAAAGATAGCTATCTTAGGCTTTTTCCCACCTCTGCTTCTGAAAGAGGCCTATCTTGAACTTTGAGAAATATCTTTCCTAATAAAGTTTTCATTTCTTTTACCTTTTTTAAAACAAAGACGGACTGAAGCTTTGAACACTAATGAACGAAGGCCAGATGAGTTGTGGGAGGGTATCATCCAGGAAGAGTGCAAACGGTCATTGCAAAGACAGAAGAGGAAGAAAAGACCAAAATGGATGTCA